GAGGAGAGGAGAAAGTAGGTGTGGTCAGGAGTGGCTCTGTTGCTGCTGATCTGGCGCCGTGCGGAAATGAAGAGCCAAGAGAGCCAAGATTGCCACCAGGGGAAACAGCCAATCGGCCCATTTTTGTGCCTGCGCCCCCCTGCGCCCTCCTGCGAAGCCTTGTCCATTTTTGCTTCCGGTGCTTCATCTTCGAGACTTGCGACCCATTCATCGTGTCTCTCCCTTTCTCACCCATGTCGTCTCTCCCTGCCGCGCCCGCACCGCTGCATCATCTTTTGATTGGAAAGTTGGACATGGCCAAACAACAACCCCCCAACCAATTGCCACCCAGAATGCAGAATACTCGGCCTGCAACTCCTCTTGAAGATGACTTGCAGTTCGGTTTACGGCGCAGCTGAAGGATCAGATCTCGTATCACGCAGATCCAGCCATCTAGAACATAGATATGGACTCCCTAACCAACAATCCGTCATTCCTACGGAGTACCCTGTACATTCATCCTGACCCATTGGAGAACACAATCATATCGATAAAGACGACGCCTGTCCTTCAATATCACCCCTTAATTGAGCCGCCGTCAATAATCCACGAGGTCCCTGAAAATAGCACGCGATCATGCCATCATGCAATAGTGGATATGAGTCCCTGCGACGCAAACACAATTGCCCATTTCAGGAATACCAGAGACCAGGCTCCTAGAGGTGTCCAATCCGATGGGGCAAGTCGTCTCCGGAATCCTTTCCCTTTGTCTCCGCACCCATCAATAACTTCGGTCTCCCTGCAAGTACGGAGTACTTGCTTACGTACCTACACAAGCTTCTACGACCAGCATAAGAACCAGACTTTCGGCATGGTTCGGTGTGCTCGGAGGATCATCCAAAGACCAGAATAGACGGAAAAGAGAGCTGTTGAGGAATAGAACCTGAGCTATGGGTATACCTACGTATTCCTGAGGCCAACATCCTGCCCAAACCATCTTCATGGCGCACGAATTATCGATTCCACGAACGCCTACTCGGTTCCGCCACGCCGCACCTCCGACGATCAAACAGGCACAGAGCATTCATCGGCCCAAGGTACCCCAGTGAAAAGGGCTCCGCGAGTTCTCCGTATTAGAGTTAACAGTGCAAGTTCGGAATCTGAGACATGCCCAGGATGCGAAATGGAGATGACCAAGAACAACTGGCTCATCGGTGAAACAGGACCTTAAAGTCCGACCTTCTCAAAACAACACAGAGCCCCTGGCACGTGATCATTGCGTCAAGCGGATGAATAATGGCATAATGGCTAACTACCCGCTACATACCCCCTTGATCCCCTGTGATATCAACCTGGCACATGTGTTGCCCCAAAAGAGATAATGGTCAATTTAACTAGAGGCAGCTCCGTCTCTTTCAATGGCGGTAGCATTCCGTTGGTGACATCGGCTGTCCCTTCACTGTTCCATCGTTTTGAATGTTAGAGCAGTGGCCATGTTATGTGCAAGGTACTCCGCACAGGTCAGGCAAAAAAACACACCCAACTCAGCGTTCTGAACCGCATGAATTTATTACTCATGATTGCTCGCCAGCAGACACTAGCTTGACTTGTGAAGATATCTGGACCGGGGAAGTTGAGCATTCTGAAGGTTGTCACTCTCGTCGCCGTCGTCATTTGTTTCGTATAAACGGCGTTTTCCTCTTAACTAGTCATCGTGTCCTTGTCCTTGACCCATGGCTCTGCGAATGTCCCAACCCAGTCCTCAACCTCCCGCCTCAGCGTCAGAATTTCGGGCACTTCAGTCCCATCCTTCAAATAATCTAGGAAGCTCTTGACTGCTCCTGGATTCTTCTTCCCTTTCGCTTCTGCATCTGACCGGGCACTTTTATCCACCTTGATCGCAATCGACACGGCGCGGTCCACGATCTCCGCGACGCGAGTGAAGTCACTCGGTTGGAAACCTCGTGTGGTCATCGCGGGCGACCCCATTCTCAACCCGCCAGGTCTCAGCGCAGATTTATCCCCTGGAACGGTGTTCTTATTCGCGGCGACGCCGCACAGCTCGAGCACGCGCTCGACGCGAGCGCCGTCAATGCCCTTTGACTTCAAGTCTACCAGGACCAAGTGGTTGTCTGTCCCGCCGCTGACGATGTTGTAGCCCAGGCCGCCGGTGTATGCGGAATTCCCGAGTCGTTCAGCGAGAGCCTTTGCATTCGCCAGGACGGTCTTCTGGTACTCCTTGAATTCTTTCGTCTGGGCTTGTTTTAATGCAACAGCAAGGGCGGTGATGGTGTGGTTGTGCGGACCGCCCTGATGGCCCGGGAAGACGGATGCGTTGATGGGACCCTCGAGGTCGTACATTTCCTTCTCGCCCTTTTTGTTTGTTCGCCGGACGCCTTTACGGAAAAAGATCATAGCTCCTCGGGGCCCACGGAGGGATTTGTGTGTCGTGGTTGTCACCACGTCCGAGAATTGGAACGGGCTGGGGATCACGTCCGCGGCGACCAGACCAGAGATATGCGCCATATCAGATAGCAGGTAGGCACCCACTTCGTCCGCGATGGCCCGCATGCGTCCGTAGTCAATCAGTCGGCTGTATGCAGAGGTTCCGGCGACGATGACTTTGGGTCGATACAGAAGAGCGTACTCATGCATCTTGTCGTAGTCGATCAAGCCTGTCGACTCGTCAAGGCGATACGGCAGAGTCTCGAAATACTTGGAGATCATGGAGATCTTCTTGGTGGGAGTCTGATAGCCGTGGGATAAGTGGCCTCCATGGGGGAGGTCGAGGCCCATCATGCGCTCGTGCGTGTTGAGGAGGGCCGAGTAGGCATAAAGGTTTGCGGGTGAGCCGGACAAGGCTGATATGTTCAGTTTTTTGATATCAATTGAGCTCCATAACATGTGGAAACCACTTACGTTGGACATTGACGCCCCATTCTTCTGGATTCAGGCGATATGTCTCCAGAGCGCGCTTCTGGCACAGTCTCTCCGACTCGTCGATATGTTCGTTGCCTCCATAATATCGTGCCCCAGGATATCCTTCTGAGTACTTGTCTGAGGACAGAGTTAGAAAACCGACCGATGACAGAGAGATGGTTGGGATGATAGACTGACTTTGCATTACACTGCCCAAGGCATCCAAGACGGCCTGAGAGGTGAAGTTTTCAGAGGGGATGAGATTGATGAAATGTCTCTGCCGACGGATCTCCTGCAGAAAAAGAGTTAGGAGTTATTGTGCTAAAGCAGTTGTGGGGTTGGTTCCTTACGCGCTGCAAGATCTCGTAGATTTCGGGATCTGCTTCTTTGAGATGCTCACCCAGTAACTGCCGGCCGTGTGAGGACGCGGGAATTCAAGCAGAGATTGAACAAGCTGTTACCTTGTTTTGTGCTTCCGTCTGGGCAGAGCTGTGTGGGCTCGAAGACGACAACCCTCTGATTGTTGCTCTGCACGAGAGGCATATTGACGGTTTGAATGAAAGGGACGGCGATGCCCAGATTCTCTTTGCGAGCATTGAACGGGCCATTTTTGAGTTGGTCGTGTATTAACAGCTGACAGCCCTCAGAGCAAGCCCTGCACGATGCGGAGAGGAGGATATCTCAATCAGATGCCACGCAACCTCCACAGTAGATGAGGTCTAGATGTCGCAGACTCGTCGAATCAAGCTCTTGACAGACGACAGCCACCTTGACTCAGCCCACTGATGGAAACTGGACCCCGGATGAAGGGGAATGTGGGTGTTCTGCCGATGATATATAGATTGGTTGTGCCACCAGAGTGGCGCAACATCAAGGAATGAAGTCCAACCAATGCGGAGGTTTGGCCGGCTTCTGCACAAGGAAGGTCAAGCGAGGGCTGAGCCAAGATTCATTTCCCCGAAAACCACCACAAACTCCTTTTTTTCCTCTTTGTTTTTCCTTCGTCACAACTAAATCCAAGATGAAGAGCATCTGTACGTCAATTACAGCTCCCGCGCTCTGGCTTCCGAGCTCGAGGTCCGTGGGCGATGCTGATATGTCCTGGGTCCACGCACCACCTCGAGGGACAATTTGAGACAAAGACTGATTGGACATGTTGTTAAGCAAAGCTGGACCTCCATTGTCAACTGCCTTGTCTATCTGTGAATGCACTCAATATGCATGGCCTGGCTTGGACTCATTCGCTGCCTCCACCTGCTGCGTCGGGGAGCCGGCTGATTAAAGAAACGGACCAAGAGCCTGGGAATTGTGGGGTTGACGGACAGAGACGTGCCTGATGCTTTCGTGGACTGGGGAGATATGGCGTTGGGCGATGATGAGGATGAGGCCGAGGATCTGAAGTAATACCATGGCATCGAGTCTTGCTCCGACAGCTGAGTGATGATGTTTTCTTTTCATGAATGCTATTTGGTGGTGCTTGCTTTTGTCGAATCCGCCCACGCGTCTTCCTGATCATGTCATCGGGCTGTAACTTGCAGAGAATGCTCTGTGCGGTCGCGACCTCGCTTCCTTCTGCCTTTCACAGGACATTCTTTTACACTGGAGGCTTTGCCGACTGGTGATATTGGGGTTCGCGCCGTCATGTTGGAATGCTTCACACCTCGCTGCCGCCCATGCCCCTGTTGTTCTGATACCGGTAGGACATCTACAGACAAGGCAGCCCTGCTGGAAACCCGTGTCGACTGTCGACAGCCTCCCCGTCAGAGCCCATCACGTGCTCACGTACTCTACAACACGTGCTATACAACTTCTGCCAAGCGGGTGACAGTTAAGCTGCCTCTTTCCTTCTTCCCATTGACGCGTCGTGTCAAAGGAACGATCTCAAAACATCCCTTTCAAGCTCCTGGTTCTTCCTCTTTTCTCCCAAACCATCTCCATCTCCATTTTCATCTCTTCTCGGATCCGTCCGTGCAAAGACAATCAACAATCAACTGCTTGTCCCCACTGCATTCATCCGCTGAGATATCGGTAGGATGAGTGCCCCTTTCAGTCAGAGACTGGTTTGCTGAGACATCGACAGATCCATACACCGTCACGTCACCATGCCTCCCATTACCCGCAAGAAAGCTCAGGCTATGAACAACAAAAACAACCCCCAACCCTTCAGCGCCGTCACTGATGGAGCTGCTCAGGCCGCTGGAGACGTCATGGATCACAAGCACAAGGACGATGACCCGTTCGAGCGTGTCTTCGGTCCCATCATCGATGTTCTATCAGATGACCGTGACTCTGATTACTCTGATTATGGGGCCGACAAGAAGAAACGCAAGAGAAAGAGCGACAGCGGCCAGAAGGGGAAGGCCAAGAAACGTCGTGGTCGCGCTCCACCTCCTGTTGTCCCGGATCTTTCAGATGACGATTATGTTTCCAACGGGGTCGAATCTGAGCGGGAAGAGGATAGTGGTCTCTGGTCTGTCGAACGTAGCGCTGCTGCAAAGAAGTCTCAGGAGAAGAACGAGCTGTCGCAGGTTCTGTAAGCGACCCCCCTCCTTTGAGAAAATGCCGTCTTTCGTTTTTCAAGTCCCCGCTTTTGTCCTTCTAGCGTTCTGCGCAAGCTAACACCCTGTTCGTAGAAGTGTCAAGGTCAATGGTGAAGGTGGCGCCAAGACGATCATCAACCTCAACCTTGCTGATGTTCTGAAGGACTTGGGTGCTACCTCTTGGACTTTGCCTGTCGCAACTCGAGCCGACACTGGGGATTTCGAGGACACCACACTGGTCGAGAGCAAGAAGAGCAAGAAGTTTGGCTTCTGCGAGCTGCCATTCGAGCTTCGCTTGAAGGTCTATCGTTTCGTCTTCCGTCAGGGCAAGGCTACTGAGTTCGAAAACCGCGACTTCTCACGCTCTTCTCATTTCCTCCGGACCAACAAACAGGTCCTCAAAGAAGGCAGAGCGGTCCTCTATGGTGAGAACTCATTCCACTTCACTCGAGACACTGCGATTCGCGGCAAATACTATCAGAAAGTCTGGAGAGAGGTCGGTTTCAAGGATATTCGACGATTCCTCGAATCGATCGGGCCTGTCAATGTAAGTGACCCCTTACTGAATGATTGTTGTGTACTTCAACGAGTTGCTCTCATTGCTCTATTGGCCATTGGTGCAAGCTAACGTCCCTTTTCAGATCTCTTGCTTTAAGTATATCTCGTTCGTACTCACCGATGGAGCGGACGGTCGATCCAGAACAGCGTCGCAGATTCCAGAGCGCAAATTCGTCGACGACCCACATTTGCATGAGGTCTTCCGTCTCATTGGGGCCAACGCCACGTTGAGGACGCTCGCTATCCAGTTTGCTGGCCGCGCTTGGGTTACCCACAACGACTTCCACTTCTTGAAAGCTCTCACTGAAATCAAATGTTACAACTTCGTCACCATCTACCGACTCAGAGGACTCACTAACAAGATACTCAATGATCTCAAGGGCAAGTTGAAGCTGGTCATGCGCGTGACAGAAGATGGTGTGCCAGTCGAACGCAAGGATAATAAGAATAAGGTGAAGATGGTGTATGACGGATTCTCAGTATATCCCGGCATGGTGCATTGGGCATCCGAGTGGTAGCTGGTCAAGAGCGAGGGATCCTCGATAACATACCATTAGTCTGGTGCGTGCCTCTATGTTGACTGAGGAAAGTCATGGTTTGCAGGTGAATGCAATGCGAGGAATTGCGGAAGTTTTGTCAACAGTACTGGAGCTGAAAAGCCCGTGTTGTCGGGGTCCGGCACAATGTTGGGGAACAAGAAATGACAAAAACAAAACAGGGCACAACAAACCCGAAGGACTTGAAACAGAGGACATCGTGGCGAGATTTCGAACTTGCAACATGGAAAGGCTATTGGGGTCGGACGAAGGACCTGAATCGAACTGTATCGACAGACACTCTTTCTGAGATGCATGGGGGGAGGACGGATAAAGCGGGAGACGAGCTAGATCACATGGCACAGGATGAACATGGTTATGTCGAAGGCCGGCTGCCTACCGTTTCTTATGAGCTACTGGCGCCAGTTGGGTCGATCTGTATCATCGTATGAGCTTCGCGAGTATGGATCATGGCATGATGTACCTAGGTACTTGTTCTCCTTCCTGACGGATGGGACTTGGGAGCAAACGAGCCAACACATGTACCATAGCCATAGCTGACATCAAAATCAACAGAGCTAGAAATGATCGCGTATTCAAAAATCCTGAAACCTAGCGTAGCGAGCACGTTTGCGGACCTTCAGTTTTTGATCCTGATATATTAAAAGGGTCGTCCCTTTTTATCGGCCGTGAGAGCATTGTTGTATCCCGTTACGTACTGTCTACAGTTCCTGTTTTCGCGGTTTTCCAACACGATACGAACTTGAGTGTATTCCAACTCGTAGATCCAGATCCACCGTCAAGCCATGGGACGGTCGACCCTGACTAAACCGAAGGAAGGATTAATGCTCAATATCATCCCAGCTCCGGCCCTGGACAGCGTTGAGTTCCTCGATGGTCATGACCTTGCCGGTGGTGAAGTAACCGGCGTGGATCTTTGCGTCGATTTCGACGCGCGAGTCCTCGGGGATCATGTCGTCGGGGATGGGGACCCTCTCCAGGATGGGGATGCCCTGGTCGACAATGGCGTCGTGCTTCATGTTGGACATGGACAGCATGCGGTCTATTTTGGTGATGCCCAGCCAGTGCAGGATGTCAGGCATGAGGGCCTGGAAGCGCATGTCCTTGACGCCCGCGATGTTCTCGGTGCGCAAGAAGTACTCGCTGGCACGGTCGGCGCCGCGCTTGCGCGCGTTGTACACGAGGTACTTTGTGACCTCACCCAGCGCGCGGCCCTCTTTGCGGAAGTAAATCACCACGCCAGACCCGCCCTTCTGCGCCTCCTTGACCGCCTCCTCGATCCCAAATATCAGGTACGGTCGGCACGTGCAGATGTCCGAGCCGAAGACGTCACTGCCGTTGCACTCGTCGTGTACACGCAGCGCCAGCCGCACGTTGGGGTCGGCCATCTTGGCCGGGTCGCCGAAGCAGTACACCGTCAACCCGCCGATCGGGGGCAGGAAGACTTTGATGTCGTTCCGCGTCACCAGCTCCGGGTACGACCCACCCGTGTGCTCGAAGAGGGCGCGTCGAAGGGCGCTTTCGTGAATCCCGAATCGCTCTGCCACGCCGGGCAGATACCAGACGGGCTCGACCGCAAACTTGGTGACGCTCAGTTCACCCGTCTCGTTGAGACAGATCCGCCCATCTGGTTTCAAGCGGCCGGCTTTCACGGACTGTTCAAGTTCGGGGATCTTCATGTGCGCCTTGGTCACGGCGATCGTGGGGCGGATGTCGATGTCCTGAGATTGCATGAGGTCCTTGTATAGCCAAGGAGCCAAATGACCAAAGGGGTCCATGGCGACGATTTTCTTCTTGTCACCCCATGCCGGAAAAGGCCCAATGTTCGCGGCCGGTTCGGTGTTGGTGAAGTCCGGTTTGTGCTCCAAGTCGAGATTGTTGCTCGCCACGGCGAGGGCGTGGTAGATACTGTAGGATCCGCCGTGAGCGCCGATTGCGTTTCGACGGCGGATGGTATTGTGGTGGCGACTCACCACCACAGGGCCACGTTTGATGGGATTGGGTTCGCCCCAGTCAAGAGGGATGGGGTCGATCCCTGACTGTCCGGGGTAGGTGGTGAGGATGATTCGTGAGGTGACCGATGACTTCCTTGCCGGGGTTGTGGGCGATGACGGTGCTTTGGGAGCCAAGCTGGAGTCTGTGGGAGGAGAAGCAGCGCCGCTCGCGGACTTACCCAGTTGGATGGGATCCAAGCTGGGCGAGTCTTTGATGCTCGTTCGAGACTGAGGAGCGCCGCGTAGTTGGTTCACAGACTGCGAGGTCTCGACCCTGCTCTGGAGGGACTCCACGTTGGCAGCTAGGTTTGCCTGGTCGACTTGTATTTTCTTGAGCGTAGTGAGGATCTCGGAGAGGACCAGCTCGGTGGCAATCCCGTTGGTGGATTGCGGAGCAGCCATGCCGGCCAGCTTGCGGATGTTGAAGGATAACGGATCTGATCGAAACAAGAACCCCCGCGTGATATATAGATATTCGTCACCCGTCTGGACAAAATTCCAACGAGTTCTAGCAGCCTGGCTCTGTTTTGCCTTTGGCAATCCCACCGAAAACTTGGACAGAGGATGAATCGTGTGCTGACAAGGGACAGCCTAAAGACGTCAAATGCCTCCGACACTGCTCAAACACCAACAGATAGCCCCAGGCACCCAAGCACGATCAATCTAAATATATAGAGATATAAGGATAAGGATAGAGAAAAGAGGGCAGAAGGATGTCTTCAACGAGTTGAACGAGGGGGTTGCAACGTTGAAGCATGCTGGTGGGGGACTTGATGCCCATTCTCAATGTGTAATATGATTGGTCGCTCGGTTGCTCGGAGGATGCCGCGATAACGATAAGCCATGGACACAAGCACGTGACTGACTGCGAAACTGGGGACGAGGCTGAGGCTGAGGCTACCGAGGGTGAGGTCGTCGACGTCTCACTTCAAAGGTGCCGTCGGGTACGCGTCTACTCTCTCGTCGCCCCCTTCGCCCACAACCTCGACCTTGATTTTCTGTTGCCGCATTGCACCACGTCTGAGGTCGTCGGCGCTATATAAAAGATGGTGAGCTCTCGCAAATTTCGTGGTTAGAGCACAGTCTAACCTCCATGCCCCAGGGTAAACGAAAGAAGTCCTCACGCAAGCCTCAAGGTCCCAAGAAAGTCAGTAGAGCCTCACCTTTGTCACGTTCTGACACAAGTTGGGACGAGTCGCCAGAACGGCTCTCAAACTAACATGACTTCCCCGTCTTGCAGCGCGAACCCCTCCCTTCGACATTCACCTGCCTCTTCTGCAACCACGAAAAAGCGATCCAAGTCAAACTCGACAAGAAAGCCGGCGTCGGCAACCTACACTGCAAAATATGCGGGCAAAAGTTCCAAACCGGCATCAACTACCTGAGCGCCGCTGTCGACGTATATTCCGACTGGATCGATGCGTGTGAAAATGTGGCGCAGGACGAGGCAACAAAGGAAGCGGCCGAGGAGGAGGAGGATGCGAAGTTCAGCAGTTATGCTACGTCCGGTAGAGCCGGAGCGGGTGTCGGAGCCGCTGGAGGAGGCGGGGATGAAGATGACGAGGACGCCGATTATGGGGACGAGTGATCATCTCTGGCGAGCTCTCGGGGCAAGTATTGCCGCTCTTTCCTCTGCATGGCATGGCGCAGCGCGGCGTTCTTTTGGAAGAAAAGTTCCCATGGTATCGGTCAAGAGGATAGGGATGTGACTGGGCAATACGGAGGTATCATGGATCGCCCTCGGCATGTGGCAGTCTCACGGAAATAACTGGGATGGGCAACGTTGACGATACTAAGGAGCAAAAAGTTGGGAGAATATGCCGTGAAGAGCATAGGAGGAGGTGCATTATCGGTCAGAAGCCTTCCATTTGGGCATAGTTAGGGCGAACATATTTGGGAAATATTGCGTATCTGACACATTTCCCTCTTCATCCTGGGGAATAAAATGGTATACATCTCGGCGTCGTGGTGGCTGAGTCCCATATGAATGCTATTTTCCCATGCTAGACAAGGTCCGATCAAAGGTAAGAAAACACCTTCAATACTTTCTGTGGGACGTTCGTGGCACCTGAACGAGACTTTAGAGACCGATAGCATATTTGGCCATTTTGCAGTCCAGCGAAGTTGATGGTGATAATACCACAGGGTTGGCGGTTCAGTTCACGAGTAATCAGTGAGACGTAGGAACTGGTACGAAAGGCACTGGATCTAGCCTTTGGTCAACCGACACGGTGGACATAGCGAGCATCAAGGGACAACTCTTCTGCAGGGACATTCGAGGAAGCAGTCAGTCTTGTGCTGTGATAGCGGTAGAGAGACTTTGGGCGGGCTAGAAAGCGGCCAAGGCAGAGAGCCATCGCTTCAGGGTGTTGAGAAAACCTTCATCATCGACATAGCCTTGAGTTCCTCCTCAATGGTCACAAGCCAGTCATTGAAACCATGAGATTGCCACTGCCAGGTGCTTGAGAGCCCTAGTCTTCTGCTCCCCTTTCATTTGTCACGACAATGCCGACGATCTCATCCTTCGTAAGTGATCTCTTCGAGGAGATGCCCAAGGGGTTCAACGACCAGAATTGATCTTGACGAGACACGGTAGTCTTTCCAGTTTCATTTCAGACAATGAGTTGCCGACCAGTAGATTACCAAATCATCAACAACAGCATGCCAGTAGCTCCAGTGGGAAACAATCTGGCGATCCCCGGGGGGGGGAAACGCTTCCAAAGGTTGGGCTCCTTTGAATCCTGCAAATTGACTGCCCTTGCTGGAAACTGATCCGGGAGGACAAGGACATTTGTTTCAACGGTGATCAAAGATTTGACTCAAAAGTCTCAAACTCCCTTGATCAGGGTGTCGGGCTTGGATCGCCAAAGCGTCGCCTCTTATTGGAAATCCTTTCACGGAGGATCGCGGGACCAGGGAGATGATCATGAACCCACATCTCGTATAACAGAGCTGACCGGACATTATGTATCACTTACCACATGTGCCAGGGGCTTCAGAGTGAGACTGGAGAACCTGATCTGACGATGCAAGACATTCTTGCCTCGCTTCTTGCAAGATTGATGGAGCAACGGACGCGTCCCTCCTTCCTCAGGCATGTCGAATGTATTGGATTGCAATGCCTTGACAATAGCCTTCATGCAACTGTGATGTGCATGAGAAGGGGGAAGGTCTTTCCGTTGGCTTTACCGACAGCTAGTCGGCCCAACCACAGCCAATCGACAGCGGCCATCTGTGCAAATCCAAAACAAGGGCGTTCAACAATTGGGGGTTTCTTTTCCCGAGATTCCTCCTCCGTCAACAACCTTGTGAGAGGGGTCTTTGCCGTTTCCAGAACGGAGTGCTGCTCCTCGCCTTTTTCCTTTTTCCCCTAAGCGAGAGGGAGTCAGTGCTGCTAGCTGGGCACAACCCTCTCGCGACGATAATGGATCGGCATAGACTTCTCAACTGCAGTGCGCCCTGCGCAGGCGATCGATGCAAGATCGCAGACCTGCAGTAAACAGGGGATGCGGTGCAATGCAAATGCAACAGCGCAAGGCAAAGGCTGAATATTGCAGACGCAAAATTGTCCGGCTCTTGGAAGGGGACGCAAGACGGGGGTGTCCGGTAACACACATTGGCCCACGCACCACGACACCCCCCCTAGAGCCCAGCCTCCTCAAAAACGAAATGCTCCCCGGAGCAGCTCGCAAAAAAAGACCTTTTCTCTCATGATGTTGACTCCACTTCGAGAAGTAAGAAAGCCCTTTTTGGCTGGGAATGAACTAGGGATAAGGCATCCCATTCAGAAGTTCTAGATACGTGCTGGAGCGAGTAATCATTGCTGATCGAGCGATCCACGCGAAGCTGACCTGGTCTCGCACGACAGTGATTGGGCTGCTTCAGCCAAGCTGGTTGAAGCCAGTTCGAGAGTGGGTTGCTGGGGATTTCCTCTGCAAATCATGGATTGACAACGCATCAGGTCGTCGGGACGTGGGCGGCAAGCGGGCTGGCGATTTGTACGAATTGTGAACTTGTCGACCATGCCAATCGCTTTGGGGAACCAGACTTTTCCTTTCCACTTCTGCTATCTTCTTCTCCTTGAGCATTTGACCCGGGAAAATGTTGCAACTAGACTTTGATATGCAGTAAATCTAGAACCCTTGGTTCTTTTCCTGCACAAGGGGCGTCACCCATTAAGCCTTGTCACACAGAGGAGAAAACCGGCGCCGTCATGACCTGCTCACCATCATTAATATCCGGAGGCTGAAATAACCAGTGATCCCATGTGCCACATCTCCCGTGATGCCTTGCCCCTGCCCCCGGCTCCCTTGGCTCTGCGCACGATGATCCTGTTATCGGATGAAGGCCGGCTGCCCGGTGTGCTCGGTAAACCGTCAGGATATTTCAGCCGATCTACTGTCCCTGGAGACCTTGTCCCCCAGCATGCAATTCAAGCTTTTAGAAGAGAGGGCATATTGACAGGTGTTGGCGCATTGCCCATGCATCGTGGCCTCAGGAAGCCGGTGATCTTGCATTTGCATGCCTCTGGTTGGCATCTTGGATCCAGATAGATTCAACCTGCAATGCGACCTTAAATCGTAGCGGATACATATGCACAGCGGGAACACCCCGTCTGCATCCCCGCATGCACGCAAGCTGTCTCTCTGAAGATCCTTTGCCGACTATAGAGGGAAGGTTCAACATCGAGTGGTCACTCAGCACAGTATACCCAGAGTTCGTAAAAGCCATCTTTTATTGAACCATTGCTGCCCTCTCTTGATAGTTGTCAGGCCCGGTGTGCGTTTGAACGCACACGTGTTGTAAGGATGTTGGACTGGAAATCTTTCAGAGCGCCCTGGCTGTGGGGCCTTGCCCGAATTGCCCCGTTGAGAGGCTCGTCCTGAGCCTCTTTCTAGAAAATGGATGGGAACCCGCAGCCACAGAACCCTTGGACACCGTTGTCATCCGGGAAGGGACCAGTTAGTAACATTCCTGCCGATGCATCCGGGCCAGTCCTCTTGGACCGAAAATGAGTGATGCCCAGCCTGCTGGGATCGCGAACAGAACTTGGAGATGGTTTTCATGAAAAAAGAGTCCGGCAATGCTTGTGACCTGTTTGATGAGGCTGGAAGAACGATGTCGATGCCATCCATTTCCTTAGGGAGAGATTGCGGAGTACAACTCCGTCCACAGGCAGTTGGTCGACGGGCCATGACGCGCAGTAAGCTAAACCTGAAACTCGCGGTGACTTTGAGGCCTTAGGTTGCCCTAAGTTGCACTTGCCAGCCACACGCTGACTGATGATGCCATCAGCGCCTGGGAACAGGGTTTGGATCGACTCACGGGTTCTTTTTGAAAGACACTGCCAGGCAATAATCCGTTGTACGGAGCATCCGAGACTTGATGCAATCGAAGCTGCTGCTCCCGCAGAATTTCTTTTGTCTCTGTTCAGATTGGTGGCTATGGTTTCTCTTGAGTGGCCTCCACACGAAAGACTTCTCTTAGAGAAAGTAGGAACACAGTAGACCCTCTCCGTGGACATTATACGCTCGGACACTTGATGCGCCGCTGATTACCGCTGTACGGTACCTCACCTTAGCGCTTGAAGACCGGGCAGATACGCCCAATCTGGCGTTCGTCAGGGAACAGTTAGTCTACCTAATACCACTGATGGTCTCTTAACCGAGGCCAAGATGGAGGTCGCGGCATGATACCGCGAAGCCAGGGGCTTTGGGCAAAGGATCCGGTGGTCGTTCAGAAGTAGGGAGAGACGGAGTCGGGCCAGAAAGTTTGCGACGCGAGCGCTATCGCGGCTCAAAGCAAGATGGCTTGTGCTCATCTGGCGAGCATGCGCAAGTCAGCGACAAGGAGCAGGGGAGAAGGAATTTCACGACCAGGACCACGGGGGAGGGGGCGGCCTTGCCCATCGTCACCTTATCATCGTTCTCCCCTCACTGGAGGGTGGCACCTGGCTCTCCGTTCCGGACTAAGCGCGACTCCGCCGGGAGAAGCAATGGAGGGACATACTGTTGTTGGTTGGTGCCACCTGGAAATCGTCCGACATTGTGGCACAAGCCTTCTCGTCGAGACCGACCAAATTAAAATCCAGACCTGGGAATTTGAATGAGCATCCACTGAGTAACGTTGAGACGAGAAATTTGAGCGAAATAGAAACAGCCTCGTAACATATGAGAAGAAGCAGACGTCGCACTGGGATTTTTTTCAAGGCCGCGCCCCGGGGGGGAGGGGCAAGGAAAGAGCGCGACTCTGATAGACGGCAAGCGCCTGGAAAGGGAATAGAAAGACGATTTTCCCCCCAACATTCACAACTCGGACGGTGCGTGGGCCCTGGTGTCGGACTGGAGGAAGCGGCCAGGCGACTTTTGAACGACACTGGTTGGGGAATTTGGGGGCTGCCCATGATAAGGTGACGGTTCTCCCGAGCCTGAACTGATAGGTATGGGATGGGCGGTACGGGGAGTGGAGGAGGTATGCCAGCTGCCAGGTGGTGAGGATGGATTCGCAGTCATGGTTCTAGTCCAGGACCCTAGGGCGGTTGTGCTTCTTGTGGCTTGCAGAGAAATGGGTGGGCCGATGCTGACTGGA